ACCTTCCATACTTGCATTTGTTTGTGTTTCCTTGTGACAATCTGAAGAGTTGCCACACATGATTTTAAGACAGGCATGTCTAAAGACTTGATCTATAAATGTGCTTATTAAGCATTTAATCCAAGCCTGGTCAGCAGTTGCAGCCTTCTGAATTCTCTCCCCCATACTTTATTAATTATTGCTTTCATCAGAGCTTTTAGTGCTTGAGCCCCAAGGTACTCCTTTGAAAGTTCTATGTCTGTTGCTAATGGACAAATGGAGGATTTTTATCTGGCATTCTTAAGCCATCTTAATACTGGGCTGAAACTGTATTGTGACAGACATTTTCTGTCTTTCAAATCTTTGTATTATGAAACCTAACAGAGGAGAAACTGTTTCTACAGGTTTGATCTATGTTGTTGGTGGTATCAGCAATGAAGGAGTAGAGCTACGTTCTGTTGAAGTCTACGACCCAATATCTAAACGTTGGTCTGAGCTAGCTCCAATGGGCACCCGAAGAGCATATCTTGGTGTAGCTGCTCTCAACGATTGTATCTATGCTGTGGGAGGCTGGAATGAAGCTCAGGATGCACTTGCTACTGTGGAGAAATACTCCTTTGAAGAGGTATGGTAGAGTCCCTTTTTTTCATAAATGTAAATTTCATCAACTTTGTGTAAGATGGCCTAGAGGGGGCCTACTTCCTTTCTTTAAAAAGAAAAAAGTTGGGAGTTCGACTTCCTTTTCACTACTGGCTGCTAATCTGGGTGAAACCAAGCCTCAGTGAGCTCAGGGTGTCTGTCCTAACCAGTCTGTAGAATGTTGCTATCTAGCTTGGTGGTGTGTTTACAAAGTTACATGCGGGTTTTTGCAAAACTGAAAGCAAACCAATACTGATGATGCATAGATACACTGTCCTTTAGTAAATACATATTAGGGTTAAGATGGGGGATAGATTCCCCCTCTGCAATAGAATGATAATTGATCTGATTAGAGAGAAAGAAAGTCCCTGAAAAATGAAGAGTTGCCCTTTGAAAAAAGTTGAGGATCTTTCTTCCACTTTGAAAGTGGTGTTTCAGCATGACTAGAAAAATCACTTTGAACACTTAAACTTTTGAATAAGATAAGACATTGTTCCTGACTGCTATTGCTCGTGTTCCCATGATGCTCTTTGGAGCAGCAGCTACTATTAAAAGCAAAACATAATCCAGTGTGCCATTCTGTTTTGCCTTTGTAATCGAATCTAGTTTTCCTTATTTTCCACTTCAAACTGTGTACCATTCTCTATTTTGGAGACAAACTACATCTTGCAGTGACTGAGGAAAGGGAGAGGAGTTCTGTCCAGACACTATGTGACTCTAGTAACTAGCATGATTTGGACTGCTTGTGAAAGTGCTGTCATTCCAGTCTTGATGATCCTCTTGATTCTGTACAAATGCCACACCTGAGCCTATGAAGAGTATATGTAGTGTTCTTTGTATATGTTTCAGTCTTTAAGATTTAAACTTTTATCAGAGTTGGGGCTTGCCCCTAAACTATTTGTTGACTATTTCACCATCTCATTAGGAAAAGTGGATTGAAGTTGCATCGATGAAGATACCGAGAGCTGGTGTCTGTGTTGTGGCTGTGAATGGATTTCTTTATGCCTCGGGAGGCCGAGCTCCCAGTCATGATTTTGCTGCTCCAGTAACCTCTGACTCTGTTGAAGTTTATAATCCTCATATGGACAGTTGGACTGAAATTGCAAACATGATCACCAGCCGCTGTGAAGGAGGTGTAGCTGTGCTGTAAAACACAACAAAGAGAATTTATGCAAGGAATGAGTAAATCTGCCTCCTCAGATTTCTGGTTTCGTTGGTCAGAAATGTAACACAGGAGCTTCAGTAGAGACAGTGGAGAATTGGGTCAGAGGACTTTTCCTGAGCAGAAGGAAATACAACAACTCTCGCCCTTCAAAGTAAATAGGCTTATCCGATGTCTGTCTCAGGAGGTATCCTGTTAAGAGTAGAAATGGCTCTGACTCCATTTAGCTTACTGAAATAAGTGGTGAATATGCCCTATAAGAATCTGAAGAAATCATTCCAGCATGTTAGGGGCAGTAATCAGATTGTTAACTGTAAAGTGCACCAAAGCTAACATCTTTAGCTGCTTTTACAATCTGGAAGGAGATTACTGCCAACAGCTAGAAGTTACCTGTAGGTAAGAGCAATTGGGCTACTTGGTTAGCATTAGTTGTCCTTTTCGGGGGGGGGGGGGGAAGGAAGATAGCAGACAAGGAAGACTTAGTACCTCTACTTATGACCTCGATGCATTTGAACCTCTTTGCTGCTGCTGGACATGATGGGCATTAAATATGAATTGGATATTTACTTTCTGGCCACTTCACTAACTTGGATGGTAAGTGGCTGAGATTTTCCTGTTTTGGAAGGTTATTCTCATGGTTCTAATAATGTCATTCCACTTCAGCGTAGGCTTTTTTCAGTGGTATCAGTGATTACCTCCTTTTTAAGTTCTGATTAATTTTAAATGGAAATGCTATTCATTAGATTAGTTGTTCTCTTTAGGACTGCTCTTAGTATAAAAATGTAGGGAAAGCCTTTTGCCCCCACCCCCCTGTAGTTAAATGTGGTTTTATGCTGTGTGACACACACTGAGGCTTGGCATTGCAATACATGCTGTTCTACAAGGTACGTATCTCCATCTTTGCTACATCTTATACCCTGCCTCTTCGAGACTTGAGCAAAATGAGGGTTTTGTGATAGAATTATTTGCATTCAGCATTGAAGTGGTGCTATTAGTGTGTTTTGTCTTAAGGAGTTTATATTTAGCTCGGATACACTTAGTAGAGCAATACTAAGAGTTTGGAGTTATTTCTAGATTCATTTAACATACTTGAAGTTGCTTTTTGCACAATACGATTGCATTTTCTGCACAACTGTGGATGATTTGAATGGAGTCTGAAATAAGGCTGCTTGAACTTTGATAGTGTTATCCTAGAATACAAAACCACAACTGGAATGTCACAAAACAGGAAGCCTGCACTGTGTAGACAAAGGAGCATTCATGCTGTCTAGGTCAATATCCCCTCTGTAAAATTAACAAATAAATACATGAATAAAGTCCTTCAAGGTGAGCGTTGCAGGTACTATAAGAATCTTGGTCTTACATTCTAACACAGGGTTGGGAGATTGCCAGACTGACATGCTGGATGATGGAACATTTATTTTTCTGATGGTTCTAGAATCTTGTGTGTGCTTTTACTTCAAAGATTTCTTACGTGTGTGAACTAAAGTCTATTCTCTCGTATTTTTTTTCCAAATTTAAACTTGTTTTAAATAGCTTTTCATAATAAAAGTGCATTTTCAGAACTGACTGTGGAATGCTCTTTAGTAGGGTGGTTTCCTGTTACTGCCACTTTCATGTAATAGGTCGGTTTTTTTACTGGAAATCCTATTTCCTTGTGGGACACTAGGAGACCGTTTATAGATGTGGACTATTTGAAAGTTGCAAGTAACACAGTAGTAGTAAAATAGACATGTATTTCTCCTCTTAGTATAAAATCACTCCTATTTCTTGGAAGCCTGGCTGCCTTGTCAACTCTGCAGCCTGCTCTAGGATTAAATGATATAGGTCGTATCTTACAGGCTTTCTTCTTTACTTTCAGGATCCCTCATTGAACTATTTGAGGAACATGACTTTAGCTGTATTTTATTTGTTCGGGAACTAGGAGTTCACTTCTGATCCCTACCCACAAACTTCTTGGATCAGTGGAGCTTAAGGGAGTCTGCTATTGTATGAAGTCACCTTCTCCATTTTTATAGGTGATTCCATCATGCTTGAATGAAACTTTGAATTTGGTTATGTTCTCTGATACTCTCTACCTCTTTCCCTGAATTAAGTCAAAGGTAGGTCCAAAGAAGACCACTGTCTTAAAAAACCACCATGTCTAAGTAAGAAAGACTAGAACTGTTTTCATTCACAAACTCAGTTTTACTTCCTTTATATTCAGAGTGCTGAAATACATCACTGTTTCACACCTATGATGCTGTTAACATGTAGAAGTTAACACGTTGCTGAAGTTAAGAGGCTCATGTATATAGCTGCTATTTCAGCAATACCATAAAGATGGCTCCCTTCAAGATAAACAGGTCTTTCTTCAGCATCTGTTCTTTGCAAAAAGAATAGATACAAATTTTAAGTGCTTTACTCTGTATACAGCAACAGTGAAGAATACTGCATTAAGAAAATGATGAGGAGTATCTAAATTTGTCCTAAGACTGCAGGCGGATGTCACTTTTCAGGTTTCTTTCTTGCAACTTACACTGTACATAAAGAATACTTAAAAAGCCAACAGTAAACATGCTGACATAAAATTTCATAAGTTTCTTAAAATAGCTGAGTCTAGAAAAGAAAATCCGAGTGACTTAAGCTTTGTCTTCATCCCCCTAAATGATGTTTTAGGAGACTTAAGTATAAAAAGCATATGCTTCTGCAGTGTTTTCAGTAATTGGCTCATCATGGAGGGCTTGCAGGCTACAAGTCCACTTCCGCTTGCTCTGAGACAAACAGGGTGCCCAGAGAAGCTGTGGCTGCCCCATTCCTGGCAGTGTTCAAGGCCAGGTTGGACAGGGCTTTGAGCAACTTGATCAAGTGGAAGGTGTCCCTGCCCATGGCAGGCAGGTGGAACAAGGTGACCTTTAAGGACCCTTCCAACCCAAACCATTCTATGATTCTAGCTGTCCCCAGTCCATTACAGCACCTGGATGACAAGGTGAGTTCCACCTTACCTTGCCCCTGCCAATGGACTTTGGCTATCTTTTCTTGCCTGACTAGCACTTAATCACATAGCAATTTCAGCACTTTCTCAGTTGAAACAAGAGAGTTTTGTTCCACAACACAGGAATTGAACATGTATGTACTTTTGCATAATTCTCTGCTGCTTCTTTAAACACTAAACTAGAACTTTCACCTCATTACTGTGCATGACTACAGTTTTTTCCCCACCACAGAATATTATCATGCATTATAGTTACACCAGATACTTTAATGATTCAGCATAGAGCAATTCATACCCAGGTCATTTGAATCTCCATTTTAACTTCAGCAGCATCTCACTCAAGAGTGATACTTTGTTCTACAAATAGGACAGACTCATGCCTGCCTTGGAAAACATTGCTATTTACAATCCTTTCCTCCTAAACTAGCCAAGTTGTTTGCTTCATGAATAAGCACATGATCCCTGCCATCTTATAACTTCCAAGCACAAGTCTTTACTTCTTCTGGAGCTCGATAAAAATCCCTTACTGGCAGATAAATAGATTTTTTTCCTGTTGATCTATTATTTTCTGCTCTGCCATTCATTTCTGCTGTTACTTTGCTCTATCTCTGAGATAGTCTTCAGTAATGCAGTAGCTAACAGTGAGAATACCATCACCAGTGTTCCCACTACCCTCAGTACTTTAAACCATCTAGGATAAGTAGGAAGAAGGGAAACATCATAATGCAGTGCTATCCCCAAGGCCATTACTAGCATTACTGCACCTTGAGTGACATCTTTAAAGAGCAAGGCTTGACAGGCAAAGATAGGAGGAATGGTACTGTTAGCCAGGTTCAGCCAGTCTGGCTTGGCCGGGCTGTTTTCTGGGAGAGCGAACCCCCACCTCATCCCTCCTAGGAAAGAGACTGTCACAGCACCATACATAATATGAGCAAATGCCAGCTCTGGGTAGTAGGTCCCTTGGATGGCCATTGACAGAGGTATAGAAACAAAAGGAATCAGCGCTCCAAGGCTTAAGTAGAGGGCTGGCTTGGGAGAATCCTTTAGTGATTCCATACTTCGTTTCAAGACACCAGGGGCTTTCATCTCATATTCTCTGGGGGCTTTCTTCTTGAAGAACGGGACAGAGGTGTGAAGACCCTGAAGCTTGGTTGCATATACCGATGCTATGCTGAGGTGTGGAGATCTTGAGAGAGGACACATATCTCGCTGCAGCCGGAGGCCAAGAGAAGAGCAAGTTGTCTTATTCTTTCCATAAAGCAGTAGCTTGGGAGCAGTTAACTTCTGGAGCTGCAAGTATAAAACTCATTCTGAACATCTTACAATGTAGTCTTATGGATCTACACATACGTAAACTATCTACAAAATAATGTACCAAGCAGTTTTCCAAGTCAGGACCCGTAACAGCTGCCTATCCTCTGGGTTTTGAGGTGGTTCTAACTTCATTAATTATGCTGATACAGTTTTCACAAGCTAGCTGATGAAGAGCAATTAGACTCTGCATAGTGAGCAAGCAAACCTTACTCACTACAAGAGGTTTGTGTATCCACCTATACTCCCATTCACCCATGCATTCTTTAGCCATTTTTAAGTTATATTCTACTCTAAAAAGGAATGCTATGATTACAGAAGTAGGATAAGATCACCCCAGAAACTAGTTACTATCTCCTTGCTATTCTACTGAAAAGAGAGAGGGAAAAGACCTTTAAGCTATAAAATAAATATCTTAGTTTTGGCTCAAAGCTGCTGCACAAACTAGGAAATCTCTCAGAAAGGCTCAGTGATAAATCAACATGGGGCCACTCCAACTTACAATTCACTTTGGTTTTTGCCAGTGTTCTGGTCATACTTTTTGTTATTTTAATTAAAAAAACAACAAAAAAAGAGCAGAAAACAAAAAAAAAGGCCTCAGAAACTTACTTTGAAAGGTGTGTGGAAGCAGCATCGTTGTATGAGAGGAAACATGTTTGCTTTATCAAGGCCCTAAAACAGAAAATTCAGGACAGGTGGTCTGAAACTGATGAATAGCTGAGTTAGTCATACACCTCAAGTTAAGTTACAGTCTAGACTTGTTTATCAGATGCAAGACGCATAGATGTATATTTGAAGATAAGTACTGTATGTGCTCAACCCTTATTTGTCCGCTATAGGATATTTAGCTTCAGGTAGCTCTATAAACTAAAATCCTAAAATTGGGATAACTGTTACAATAACAATTTCTAGTTCAAAAGCTGGAAGTGGAGATGGCTCCCGTTTAGGATCCTCTCCTGACGGGGTAAATAGCTACACACAGCTGATAAACGGCCAATTCCCCCCACGTGGAAAAAAATTATCCTTAACCACTAACGAGTGGAAGCTTCGTCTCACCCCAGGCTGCGGGCGAGCTGCCTGCAGGGGGCTGCAGCACTAACCGGGAAAGGCGAGCAGCTCACCCGCGGACTTCACTTCCCCGTTCTCGATGCTGCTGCTCGGCAGAAGCGGGCTGTAGCCGGCCAGGCACCGGCTGTGACCACGGCAGTACCCACCGGCTCCCGCCCGCGGCCTCCCCAGCCAGCGTTGCCCCTCGGCCCTCGTAGCGGCAGCTTCCGCTGCCCCCGGAAGCGCTCTGCTGGGAGCCCGGCGTACAGCGGTGCGAGTCCGGGCGGGAACAGGCGAGGCCCGTATATTGTTCCGGCGGACCGGGGAAATGGGCCGGGAACAGCAAAGCGCTCCTTCTCGTGCTACTGAGCCCCAAGGACTACGACGGGGTTGCCCGAGGGGCGAGAAGGGCCCCGGAATAGCTACGGGGGGGGCTGCGCCTGCTTTTCAGGCTTCGGAACTCACGCAAAACGGACTACAACTCCCAGCGTGCCCCGCGGCAGAGCAGCAGGACGATCTTCGCGGCAGGTGGGGCGCACGGCCTTCTGGGACATGTAGTCTCCGGTAACATCCGGCGGACCATGAGGCCCCGTGTGCGTTGCCTCTCTGAGCGGTAGGGCGGGTGTCGGGAGCGCTCCGCGTGGCCGCCGAGGGAGCCGGGGAGGAGGCGTGGGGGCGTGTCCCTTCCGCCTCCTCGGCCCCGCCCCGCGCGCGTGTAGGCCCCGCCCCCTCCGGCCCCCGGCCGGGCAGGGCCGGGCAGCCATTTTGGGCAGAGCTTTGTTATGGTTCTGGGGCCGCAGGAGGCAGCGAGAGGGGCCTGGCCGGTGAGTGCGGCTCCCACACCCCTCCTTCCGCCTCCCCGCCGCGCCTCCCCATCGGCAGCCACCCCGGGACCCCGCCTGTCACCTCCCGTCTGCTTTGCAGCTTCGGAACGGTCCGGGATCGGCCTCCCGCCAGGCCGGGACCCCGCTGGCGGTTGGCGGCGGGCGGTGCGGCCGCCGTTGGGGGGGGGTGGAAGGGGAAGGGGAATCCCTCCGCTCTCATCCCGGCGCGCTCCCATCCTCGCGTCCTTCTGTGGTCCCGTGGGGAACCCAGTCCCGAATGCGGCGGCGAGGGGCTCCCTGCGGGGCAGGGCCGCCTGGCCGGGGGAGGGCGGTTGGGGCCGAGGCTCCGTCGTTTATTGTTTCCTGCTTAGCCGGAAAGTTCGGAGCTCTGGACATGGCCTGGGCGCTGCCGCGGCCCTGCTGGCTCTCGCCCGGAGTTTAGCCTTGTCCTGTCATCGAGCTGGCCGGTCGGTGGGGACGGAGGAGGAGGAGGGGAGGTGGCGGAAGGACGGGCCGGAACGCCGCGTTTCGCCGGGGCGGCAGGGTGAAGTCCTCGGAGGGCGGTTGGGGGGGGCCAGGCCGGGGCTTCCTGCTCCGCGGCCCCGGGGCGGGTGGAGCGTTCGCGGGTGAGGCGCCGAGGCTGTTTTGATTGCGAGCTGGAAACGAAAGCGGAGGATCCGCGCTGGCTCGGGCCGTTTCCCTCCGGCTCTGCGGGGTTCACGGCCGCGCTTTCCGGCAGGCGCCGAGCGGTGACACGTGTGCTGCGGGCAGCCGAGCCCCGCTCGGCCGGGGCCAAGGCAAACGGCGACCGGGAAACTTGTCAGGCGCCTTCGTTACCTGTGCACAGCAAAGCAGCGCTTGGCGTGAGCGTGAGGTGGCTTTTTCTTTCGTCGTGAAAGTTATTTCTGTGTATCCGGTGTGATTTACGTCCTGTTGGCCTACGGTTTTGCGTGCGGCTGTGGCTGGACTGGATCGGGACAGCTGTGTTCGCACCTAGCGTTACAAAGATGCGTTTAAGACTTTGAATTCACTTCGGTTTAGTAATAAGCTGTTTTGGAACGATTTTAGAGCGGTTAGTGGGCGTCTTCACAACTTACAAGTTTTTAAACAGCTTTAGAGGAACAGTCGCTATTTAAATCCTTGTAAGTAGTGGTGGATTCGTGCAAGAGCATTGCTTAAAAATACAGACTGATTATTAACATGGCCAGGTAAGTCGGCCTTGCTTTCCCCGCCCCCGAGGTCGGAGTGACACGAGTGTTAGTAATATTGATATACTCTGAAACGTTGCAAGCAAATGAGTGAAGTATGCAAAGAGCAAGAGGGTGGGATGGAGGCAAGAAAACAGGTAATTGCAAAGACATCAGAGTTGAGTTTGCTGTGGAGTTGACGTTGCTTCTATAAAAATGTTAGGTGGTTACGAAAAAAGCTTATGCAAATGTTACTTTGTGAGTGGATACGGCTGGTATTTCAGTGAAAAGGTTCCTCGTGCTCATCCATGTGGAGACCTGTATTTTGAACTTACAGTCTCTGGTTTGGGAAGGAAATGGGTATAGGGCAGTAGCAGGAGGAAGTAAAATCACCAGGTTTAAGTGCAGGTTTTACTATCACATTTTTTCTGATCGTTTCTAGAGAAACGTACCTTAAGAAGAGCTTGTTTCAAGTTTTGTATTTGGAACAGAAAACTTTCAGATGCTACTTCCCTCTTTGGGTTTGTTTTTTCCTTTGTGTTTTTTTTTTGCTTCTTATTTATAGGGAAGTGCAGCCTCTGTGTTTTGTATTCATCTCTGGGTTGTAGTCTGAATCCTATATGACACAGAAGTTTCCATTGCAGATATACTAAGACTTAAAGTGAAAATATGCAAGGAACAGATGGCATTTAAAAGAAAAAAAGGTCCCGTTTTTTCTGCTGCTGTCTCAGAAGTCGGATTAGCCGAATGCAGATGTGATACGTAACAAATCGAGTGCAAGTGCACACTTTGATTGTTAGGGAAAATACTTTACTTTGAAGAACATTTTGCGGGGTATGTGTACCTTGTCTCAGATGTGGCTGCTTTGTCCATGGTGTCACTGCCTCTTGACATTCCTGTTTTAAATTAGGAGATTAAGTCACGACGGAAAAATAATCTTTGCTAGCATTTTCATGAGATGCAAAAAAAAGTATTTCAAGAATTGTGGGCTACTTGTTTTTAATACAGAAAAATACTGCGGTTGGATCTGTGAATTTCCTCAAGAGTGTGGGTGTCAGATAACGTAGTTCTTGGCTTTACCCAAGTGATCAAAAACTATTGGCTCAAGAATTAAAAGTTGCTTTTAATTTGAGTTCAGTGTTGCAAGATGTTTGAAGTTAGTTGTGTAGCTGCTGAATTGACATAGTTGTGAAGTACACTTCAGAGTGTGCTTTATTCATCTGTATGAACAGATTGGAAAAGGGCTGTGACTGTTCAGTAGAGCTAAAACATAAAGCACCTCTCTTCAGTAAAGTGCTGGCTGCTCTTGCCTGGATACAGCTCTTTCTTAGGGCTTTGTGAAAACACAGCCACAGGAGGACAGTTGCTATAAGTTATCCAAGGAAAGGTCATATTTACTGAGTTTTGCAGTTGGTGGGGTAGTATGTGTATTGAGAAGTGTGTTTGGGATTTTTAAGTTTATGTTAATGTGTTTGTAGAGGCAGGAGGGGTTTAGGTTTTCTTCTAGTTTTTTGTTCTAGCAGTCTAAGTAGACATTTTACTGCCACTTATATAGTGACCAGGATACGAAGTAAATCGTATGTGGCCTTTGTTTCAGTAAGAGTCATTGAAGTGTGTGTTCTCTTTGCTTGTCAGATTTGATGAAAACCAGTGAAGTTGGCAGAAACATGGTCCCGCTTAGAATACTCCATGAATGCCAGGATGTTGTTTAACTTGTGTTCTGTAAGTTAATATGTTCCTGTGAAAATGTGCCAAACTTTAATGAGTTACTGTATGGTCAGAAGATAAACTTACATTTTTGGGAGGGGATTTAGGAAGAGATTGATAGTGTCCAAATATCCACCTCCCCATACGTGTATGTACAAACACTCTGCAGACCTAAAATTCTAGGTTAGTGAAGGCCATTAGCATGACAATAAGTGGGAAGGGAAGCACATTGGTTAAATTAATCATACATATTAGTGATCAGGCTGTCCCATTGCAAACTGGAATTTCTTGATTAAAATCTGCTCAACAATTGCAGCTCCTGCCTTCTTTACCTGCCCTTCCAAAACATCAGATGAAGAATTTTAACACTTCATGTTTTTCAGACCTTTCTGTAAATAAACCAGCAGAAAGGCTTTACAAACTGTTGTTGTATGCAGTTCAGTGAAATGACTAAGCTGAAATAGTTCCACTTCCAAGGTCTGCCTTAACAAAAACCCTTTGAACCAGTGTATCCAAACAATATCTTGAGGTTTTCTGCAATAAATGATGCTCAGAAACAAATATTTTGCAGAGTATGACCTTGTGCCTCAGGGACTGTTGTACACAAGAGAGTTCACTGGAAGCTACTGAAGTTCCAGGATTTACAGTCATTCTAGCAAAAATGCTAGTGTCTTTTTTGTTTTCTTTCTCTGTTTTGTTTTTTCCTCTCCTTGAATTTTGTTATCACTTCAGTGTTTTCATAGTGTTAACTTCCACCCTGGAAGGAGTATCATAGCTTCATAGTGTGATGTTGGTGGCTGTTAATAAGCAAAAGTGGGGGAGGGTTCTGGTGGCGTATAATGTTGTCTAAATGCATGTCACTGATTTTAGGAACCCCCCCTTTCCCAATACAGGAAAAAATGTAGAATTTTAAATTCATTTCCTTTGGAGCACTTTTATTTCAGTGTCTGTTCTAGGTTCAGGTAAATGTAAGGGTGAATGGTGGTATGGCCAAGAATGACTGGCAGCAGGGATGGGGGTTCAGTGTGGCAGGGTCTACTCTCCTGGGTATCTCTGTGACCCTCATAGCATAGTTGCAACATACGAAGCATGTGGCAATGATCATCACTGTCTTGTAATTTGTCATCATCAGTTTGTGACGAACAATTACCTTGTAAATAAAGGACTGAGTCTGCCAC